TCGGGATGCGGGGCCGCGGAGGTCGAAGCTGAGCCGCCTCGCCCCGCAGCCCTGGTCGGGGATGCCGCGCCCCCACCCACCCTCGGTGGCACGTGCAGACCCGGCCCGAGAGCGGAGTCCGGGTATCGAAGTCCACCCTGCTCCCGAGAGGCCGGACCTTGGGCTCCCGCCGCACCCGCCCTTCTTTCGGAATCTGGGGTTGTCTCCGAGTTGCTGCGGCGGAGATAAATCCTCTTTGGGTTTTGCTTATTTATAATTGTCTGCAAGGAGAGCGTTGCCCTCATGCGGTCACTGCTCTCTGTGACACCTAAGCCCTTAAATGACCCCTTCGGTAGGCAGATGGGAATGTGCAAATTTCCAGCCTCAGACCTAGTACCTGGGGCAGGCAAACAGCAGATTAGCTTATTAGCCAGAGACCACGATGGCAAGTTTTGTGACATAGTCGGAAATGTTTAATTAGTACATCGGGCTTTGCTTTCCTTCAAGAAGCAAAGCACCTTGAGACTCTGAGTTTCCAATCCAAAACCCAGCTATGCTAATGCAGAGTCTGTGCAGTACATAAGATACTGCTGCTTTGTCCCTCTCAGACCAGACTTGAGGTGTGTAGCATCAGTCCAAACCAAACGCAGTGTTTTAGTGTCTGTGTGGAGATTGAAGACAATCGTTATTTTTATTTTTGAGCTATTACGGTGAACTTTTTAAAATCCTCAACACCTAGCTTATTTTACAACACATGAGACCAGGCCATCAGCTAATATTGCTATCCCTAAGTTTGCCTGCATAGCACTTAACAGATTGCATGGATTCTTAGAAAGGATTGTTTCAGCTCAAATTTAGAGAACTGAGTCTAAGTTACAAAATGTATCCACAGTGTTTTAAATGACTTTTGCTGGGACTACTTTGTAACATTTTGCTTTCACTTTAGTAGAGCACCAAACATCAGGTCCAGCACAGACCACCTTCTCGAAAGCAAAGGAACGCTCTATAGAGTGAGGAAAAGAAAAGAATTCAAACACAAGGTAGTGAAGAAATGTACCTGACATCCCCACCTGGAGACTACTAGGCATCTCAGAGTCCACATGCTAGAGACAGGTTCCACTTCTCTTGCCCCAAGGATACCTCATCCACAGCCTTTATCATCTCAATTAATCCCACATACATTGTTGTCACCCAGGTTAAAAGGAAAAAAAAAAATTTTTAACTGACTTGACTTCTTGATTTCTGTCTCTTTACCCAGAAAGTTCAGTAAAAACCTGCCAGCACAACCTTCAAAGTAAGTACTATATAGATGTGGACTCTATAAGTAAGTATAAGTAAGTACCACCTCTCCTGCCATGACCCTGGTCCAAAACAGCATTATCCTTTGGCTGCACCTTCCACTAACCACATCCCTGGTACCCTTCTTTTCTCCCTTTGATTCCAACAGCACATTTCCAAGAGGGCAGTGAGAGTGATTCTGAGCACTCCGCTCAAGTCATTGCTTAGCTCCCATAGCACTCTGTGCAAAAGCCAAAGTCCTGATGGGCCTGGATGACCCTGGACCTGGTCCCCTGTCCTGGCCTCCTCTCTGACCTCATTTACTAACTACTAAGTCCCCTATGCATTTCTTCTGGCACATTAGCTTCCCCAATGTTTCAGGAATAGTAAGTACTTCCTCTGCTCTTTCTTCTCCTACTTTGTTCCCTCCACTTTCCCGATCTGCCCACAACACCAAAAGGAAAAGAAAACCTACTCAACAGTTTAAATGTTTCTTACCTCCATCACATCTATATTTAAATGTCATTCTCCCCATAGTTACATACGTTCCTGACTATTTACCATCTAACATTTTACTTGTTTTATTTTTGTTCCCTCCACTGTAATGCCATCTTCTAAGTCAGTGATTTTGGTTCCTTTTGTTGCTATCAACTGATACTACTGGATGGATAAATGAATTAATAACTCATGCTCCCTTGTATTTGTATGAGATTTTTTTTAAATTTTATTTATTTTTATTTTATGTGTATGTGTGTATTGGCTGCATGTAGGTAAGTGCACCTGTGTCATGCAATGCCCGTGGAGGTCAGAAGAGGCTGTCAGATCCCCTGGGACTGGAGTTACGGACAGTTGTTAGCTGCCGTGTGGGTGCTGAGATTCAAACCTGGGTCTTTTGCAAGAACAACCAGTTTTCTTAACCACTGAGCCATCTCTCCAGCCCCTTTGTATGAGATTTTTATGTACATCTCACTTGTATGGTGGGGAAGAGGAGGCTGCAAAAGGAAACAACCCCAATGAACTGGTTTCTGATCTAGAAAAAAACACATACACACTGAGGATTTGTGAGCATCAAATGTAATGCATGCAAAGTATCTTGCATGGTGCTTAAGCCATACTATAAACTCAACAGATGGTAGTTATTTTTAAGCTCATTCTCATCATCTCCACTCTTTGAGGTCTGTGGGACAGTTATTATCATCCTGTTTACAGATGAGGAAACTGACAATAAAATGGGCCATGTGATTTGCCCTAGTTCCAGGCCAGCCTTTGGCTTTGGAAAGATCTAGAGCAAGCTAACAACTCTGTACCCTATCATAAATACTAAAAGCTACAGTTGAACTGGGGAGCTCTGGTGCAGGAAGTATTAACTGCTGGCCTGCAACCTGTACCTCTCTCTACCCTGTCTCAGCTCCAAGCATCTCACATGAAGACTCTCACAGGAGGACAGTCTTTGCATATCTAAACTACACCACACCCCTCAACTTACAGAAGCCATCAGTGACCTCTCCCCAGGCCAATCTGTAGTTCTGGGTGCTGAGGCCTGGAAGTGGCAAGGCTGGAAGGTCCAGGGGTGTGGAGTTCCGATTCTATGAAACTTCTTGCCCCATAGGGAAGGATGAAGTTTGCAGAGGGTCCTCCAAATCATGGGCACTGGGCAGAAACTCCCTTAGCCATATCTCAGCCAGAAGATTCCAGCTGCAAGGCTCTTCTCTGGGTGCTCTACTGTGACACTGAATTGTACCAATCACCTTAGGTGAGGCCTAATAGTATATCTTATGCACCAACAAAATGACTAACTCAGGTTCAACTTCTAAGCTATCATTTAACTTGAATTAAAGCTAATTTTTTTCCACTGTTTATTATCACCATATCTACAAATGTCAGCAATTCTATCACCACTCAGAATCTAGGACATCTGACACTTGGCATACATTAATGTTTTGTTAACATTCAAGCACCAATGATATACTAGGTACAATATGGACTGACAACCTGCCAGCTAGTAAGACTAAATCAAACTATGTCAACCAACCATCATCAAAATAAGTCATCCTATTACACTATCTCAGAAAGGTAAATCTATAAATGAGGGGGCTTTTTGTCCTTTGTTCATCCATCTAGAAAATTTGATGACAGGTAGAGATACAGACCACTGAGTTTTAGGTCCAGAGATACATTTCAAAATCTGACCTTAAGACCATTCTACTTGTAGCTTTAAAAGCCTTTTGTCTTCCCAAGTAGAAAATCTAATATATCCCTAAACATATTGTGTAGATGAGGTATTCAGAGTCACTTTTATTAAAAAATAAATCCTGTGAGTCCAGTTGTAACACAAGATTAGAGCAAGATAGTCATCGTATTAGAAAAATCCACAGAACACCTACTGTTCAGTCAAGTGATAAATATTTATTGCATATTTATTACAGGCTAGGAACTGTCTCGCTCCTTGGACTAGATGGACAGCCAGTGACTCACCTCTCCGTGGATAAGGACAAGAAGAATGACAGAAACAATCCAGGAAGCTGCCCTGCTCTGCTAAGACAGAGCTTCCTCTGCTTACAGCCTTACCCAGCTTTACTACCTCTGAAGGCCAGGTTTCTAGCCAAGAGCTTGAATTCTATGAAGAAACTCCTTGCACACTTTCTTCTTCCTCAGAAACACTGGCTTTTCACTCTCTTACCCTTATACTTCAGTCAGTTAATTCTTAACATATAGTTAAGAATTTCAGGGGAGCAGAGACTAGTTGAAACATGAAAAGATTCTCAGTGTGCTCCTGTGAGAAACACACACACACACACACACACACACACACACACACACACAAATAATAAAGTTTAACTGTATTCATCTGCAAGCAGCACCTAGAGAGTCTCCATGGGGAGTGCAGTGACAGACATCCAGCCAAGTATCTGACCCTGTCTCAGGCCAGAGCTCTTGAAAGAAGCTGGATCGAACATATCAAAGCACAACCAGAACCAGAATCTTAGGCTTGATTTTACAGGAGTCATCAAGTCAGAGTTGAGGATGCTGTCACATGGATAATGATACAAATGAGGAAGTCATATAGATTTCATTTCCCCCTCTGAGAAGTGAATACTGTTATCCTGGTCCTACCTACACAGA